GAGAACTGACAGCGTGTTTCTCTACCAGTGGCTACATATGCTGTGCACAGCAACGAGTGCCAGCTGGCTTGACCTTGTGGTGACCATTAATGACACAATATAGAATTGAGCCTCATTCCCATGTCATTTTGCTGTGATGATTCCGTAGAAAACGATGCCATGCGATGGCGGAGCTGCTTTTAGGCTGGCGTGGTTGACCCAATGAATGGAGTCTCGAAACGCAGCATGAGAGGTGAAAAAGCCCTCACGTCATACTTGTAAGGCCATTACCAACGCCACTATCAAAGTCGAGAATAAAACTAGACTTGCATTGTTATTCTCTTTCCATTGTTCAGCAGTTGGGTTTTTCATGTTACAGGACCAATATCTACTGGTTTGCTTGATCTCAGTCTCACTAACGGAATTGGTTACGTCATTCATAGTCGCCTTCATTCTTGATCCAGCGATTACCTGTGATCAAACTTACAAGCGATATAGAAAATAAACGATAGACAAAACAAAATGGCGGAGAATTACGTCCTCCGAATCACAGCTGGTCCTGATTACGATCAATCTCAACAGGTCGAGGTCCCAGTCAACACTGCCAAGCCCATCACCATCAAAAGCGACCGCGCTGATATTGAGCTCAACGTTCGCGTCAACGACTACAAAGGCCTTCCTCGCAACTCACCAACGACTTCACCATACTTCTCAACCGAGCCTCACGCCTACAACAGGGATCAATACAGCATCTCATTCCGCTTCACACCAAAGAAGCCCTCCATCGATGAGAGCGATGGAATCAAGGCCACAGATCTTCAGTTCGGCAATGACTTTGATCATCCCATTCGAGATCGTCTACCGCCTGGTTTCAACACGGCTATGAGTATAGTGCGCTGGTGGATTGATCCTGGTCTGGATGGCGATGCGTATGCTGATAAGCCCTTCTTGTATGGTCCCGCGTTGAGTTCTTTCAACACTATACATGTGGGCAAAGGCGAATTCGATGAGGAGAAGGGTGGTCTTTGGTTCGAAGAAGGTGGCGATGAAGATGGTCTCGAAGCTCGTGAGGAAGTCGGCGCTCCTCTTACCAGCAAGGCGAGAATGAAGTGGGCTCTCAGAGCTGACGCCAAAGAGAAGTGGGTGTTTGAGTATGGCCAGACATACGGCTTCGACTTCTTCAATCCGTATCTCAACTTTTCAGACCTCGCGTTGAACCTACCTGGCTTCCAGCTACCCATTATGAAGTACTGGGACGGTCAAGGTCTCAGGTAAGCCGACACCCTACTTTTCCACAGCACCGGGACATTTTGTCACACTCATTCCATGCCTTTCCGTTTACACTCGTTACAGGCCCGGCCCGAAACGCTCACATCAACTCAGATATGTCTTGCGCAACAAGGAAACCGGGGAGCCGTACCTCGTGATTCTGTTCTCGCTGTACCACAAGGATTATGTAAATGAGGATGGGTCGTTGAAGGACGGGGCACAGGATTCTTTCAAAGGACCTGAGAAGGTTACTGAGGGTGATGAGGAGTTTGATGGGGACGGGGCACTGAAAGAGGCGACGGAGCAATTGGGACCGAAGATTGATGAGAAGGGGAACGAACAGACGAGTGTTGATGATCTTGACTAGGAGATAATTAGAGATAAGGCTGACCAGGGTGTAATAGAATTCTAGATCTCGGGATGATAACCCAAAGAGGTAGAAGAGAAACAAGCTTCTTCGATCTCGTGTTTCGGGTAATGGATCGCATCCTCACTTATTTTCGGATCCGTCTCTCATTCGTCCCCGAAGATCCCATTTGTGGCTTCACATCGTTCGAATCATTTAAGCAATCTAAACATGAGACTAATGAGTAATGGCTGCAATAGCGGAGTATCCAGTCACATGAGCATTCACGTGCCCTTACATCATATCTCCTCTTGGGTCTGAATTCGGTTGCAGCACTCGTCACAAAAGATACTACGGTATCAGTTACAGATCCTCGGTACCGTCCACGCATAAATGGCAGCGCAGAATCTTTTTCCCGTCCACTAAACGTACACGTATGCCCAGATTTCACAAATTGTGTGCGTGCGGGGTGGGAATCTCAGATCTGCAAACGAGATATCCGGTAATAGCAGGAGTTAAACCCCATCTCTGTTTTATTACCGATCGAACCCCCTCAAAAGGTCGAGACTGTTTGTTCCTCGGGTACACGGTCCAATTGGATATCCTCTCGGCTGTTATCATCCGAGCGTGGCTTTCCTAAAGAAGTGGCTGCCGAAGCGGCATCTCGAAATCGAGCAGGTCGTTTGGTGACGGGGGAAACTTGGCGTGCGAAAGAGGCTTGGTCTAGGGGTTTAGCGTTTGGCTTTGTTCACGTCCGTCTTGTTCCCGATGCCTTGGTGCCGGGTTATGATGGATGACTACGGCATTGTCCCCGGATGGGTTATTTGCGAAAGGTCGTATACGTAGGAGCGGAGAGAGAGAGGAAACCTGATCTTCCCAACATCCTCTTTTCGTTTCAACTGACGCTGTAACAACGGTGAGAGTTTTGTGTCTCTTCAGTTGGTGTCTATGTCTTACACACGGTTACTGATCGACACAAGATATCACTGGCCTCCCGCTGACGTCCCTGTCTCTAACCTGACCGTGCCGCACAAACATCTCCTCCATGACCCATCGGAGAGAATGTATTCCCCGTTAGCGTTTCCCAGTGTCCGAGTCACACCTCAAACGTGGGCCTAGCAGGCGGATACAGCGCCAAGACACCATTATTCCCGTTGGTATCCCGCCTTTTGACCCTCACCCAGCCCTTGATAATCCCGGGTTTACGCTCCGGATACAACACGGTCGTTGTTCCTGTCCTGTTCTTATTGTAATCATAATCCGCCCTTTTCTCCCATTCATTCTGCTCTTCTCCCTCTCACCGCTGTGTGTCTGGTGAAAGATTCGGGTGTCGTTGGACTATCGCTGCTGTATAATTTGCCGATTTCTGGATATTGAACATCACGAACTATCGATATGATCGAGTCTGATACGGTCCAGACTGCGGGTGCTTCCGTTCAGGACCAGGGCGATCTCGAGATTGGGCCCAGCACCCTCCCGTCTTCATCAGCACAACCGAATCTTGGTAGTGAAGACCCTATATCCTATCTATATCTAACACTCGACACTCCCCTACCATCACCACCTTCATCAGACTCAAATCTTACACAAAATCTTCCACCATGCCCAGATCTTCGACCTTACGCTTCACCCTTCACGTTGCCCCGAGCACGCAAAAACATCTTCCTCGCGCTCTCGTGCATCGCGACAATGCTGACTGCATATACTGCTGGAACCTACTCCCCACCCTCGAGAGCAATGGCTAGAGATATCGGGGCCAGTCATACAGCTACACTCGTCGGAATCACGACTTTCTGTGCGGGTTTCGCTATTGCACCAATGGCACTCGCCCCCATTTCTGAGATCTGGGGTAGACGTCCTGTTTTTATCCTCGCTGGTTTTGTGTTTGTCATCTCCCAAGCTGTCTGTTCTGTCATGCCCGACTTGGCTGGCATGTTGATCGCACGCTTTTTCGTTGGTGTCGGCGGTTCCGTCTTTAGTTCCGTCGTGGGCGGTGTCATTGCTGATCTGTGGGAGAAGGAGGAGAGGAATACCCCGATGGCTCTCTTCAGTGGCTTTGTGCTTTTCGGAACAGGTCTTGGACCTCTAGTGTCTGCTGCTTTCGTCAACGATCTTGAGGATGATACAATGGCTTGGAAGTGGTCGTTCTGGCATCAGGTTATTCTCGATGGATTCTTGCTGGTCGCCATCTTGATCTTATTCAAAGAGACGCGAGGCTCGGTTCTGCTTTCACGCAAAGCTAAGAAGTTGAATCAGTGGTATCAACAGCTTGAGGATGCGGGTGTCTATGGAGTGTGGGTGACTGACCCTCGAGAAGATACCTGCAGCTCGTCATCTTCAAGCGTCAAGACCATGCCAGGACACGAAGCGATGCTCGAGTACAACAGACAAACACAACTACGAAGAATACGATGGCTCGTCGAGGCAGACGAACAAAGACCTCCTCTTCGACAAATGATGGCTACCTCTATCATGCGACCCTTCTACCTCTTGTTCACAGAACCAGTTGTCTTTTCCTTTTCTCTCTGGGCTGCCTTCTCTTGGGCCGTCCTCTATCTCTCCTTCTCCATCGTCCCGTATCTTTACTCTGACAACTATAACATGTCGATGCGCATCTATGTTGCGATGATGGCATCTGCTATTATCGCGACTGTGGTCGGTATTCTTCAAGAGAACCTGATGAAGCATCCTCTCTGGAGCGGACACGTTGACGAGAAGGAGGTTTCCCGCTTCTGGCGATTCATGAGGAAGCATTTCCCCGCTGATTCTCCCGAGGCACGACTGTACTTTTCCTGTCTCACTGCCCTCTTACTCCCCGCTGGCTTGTTCGTCGCGTTCTTGAGCCCCATTAGCACGAGTCACTACACGCAAGCTATTGGTATTGGTTTCGCAAATTGGGGCATTTACTCTGTCTACCTTGCTACGTTCAACTACCTTGCTGATACATATCACATGTACGCCTCTTCAGCCCTTGCCGCACAGAGCTTCTGTCGCAACGTACTTGGTGGCATCTTCCCTGTGTTGACCGGTATTATGTTTGACAATCTCGGTTTGAGAAACGCAGGTTGTGTGTTGGGTGGTATTGCTTCGGTTCTGACACTGATTCCATGGGTTCTGGTGTTTTTCGGAAGCAGAATTCGGGCCAGAAGCAAGTTTGCGATCGTAAGTTTACACACCGTTCCTATATACTTTAGATTGAGGGTCTGTTGTTAACTCCTGACAGTCTCTACAAAAGCAGTGAGGATGTTTATCCATGGAAAGGCGAAGTCTAGTCAGAATTCTTCCGTTTCTCTAGATGGCACGAAGAGTTGTGCTTGTATGACCTGATGAACCTAAACGGCCTATTATAACCATCATTGAACATATGGTACACATCATTTGTTTCTCCATTTTCAGCCATGCCACGTCAATACGTCGTCGCAGCGTCTCTGCTCAAGACTCTCTTCTTCTTCTTGAGCTTCCCCTTGCCGTAATTGCTCTTGAACCACGCAATAGTCCTCTTGTCCAACGTATCGCCCTTTGAGCCCTCCTTTCGTAGATCCTCACTAGTCCGCTCCGATAAGCTAGTCGCACTTCTCTCGCGAGTGCTCCTCAGCTTCTGCAGATCGCCCACAATAGCAGGGAGGATCAAGTCTCCGCTTACGTCTATGCGAGGAGGCGGAAGCTGTACGCAGCCTTCCCAGATGCGCAACGAGCTGGGGATGTCGTTGGTAGCGGAGACTTCGTGGTCGTCGAACGCAAGATTTCCATCACCCGTATCGATGTAGGACTTCTGACCAGCTAACTTGGGCCATATTGTCGATGGCGCAACACGGTATGCGTATCTCTTTGTGATCTTGCTGTTGTTCGAGAACAACGTCCCCATGAATGGTGCTGTGTACTTCTCGCTGAAACCGCACATGCGGACTGAACCGATGCGACCCTTGAGATGCAGGATATTGTTGCAGAAATGGAGGTACGAGTCGGGACAATACTCTTCCACAGGTGCTACAGTTGGGTAGGTTGGACTGATTGCATCGGGTAAAGTTGGACTTCGTAGGCCTCCAGCGTCTTCGTCGAAGTTGAATCGTCGGGGTGTTGTCGCTGTTGGACTGCGCGGCTCTGGTGTTTTGGCGCTTCGCGATGCTGATCGTGATGCCGGACGTGAACCTGATCGACTACTGATGGCTCGAGGTGGCGAGACGATGGCCGCTTGGGGCCGTCTTCCGTGGAAACGTCGACAGAGGAGGATTAGGCTTTCCATGGGACACGACTCCTTGCGCTTCATTTGTGCATTGATGAAATCTTGGAGCAGTTTCTCGATCTGCTCGACGTTTGGCGACAGCGCTACAGCGCCAGGATCAGAGCCGCAGCCTAAATGCGTCATATCGAGTTCGATGACGATGTTGTTTGCGTACATGCCGTAGTTGTTAAGCCATGTTGTTGCAAGTGGGCTTACTCTCGGTCCAGTGAATGGCGACAAGACGGCGTGTAGTTTCGTGTTCTGCAGAAATGCGACAAGAATGTCCGCGCGAAAGTCAAAAGATACTTCAAAGTAGGAAGATAGTTGCAGTAATGTCGATGAAGGCGACTCAAAGTCCTCTTTGCGCCAAACATCACGGCTAAGTGCATGTTTGTTCAAGCGCAGGGGCTTGTCGCAGGGCGGGAGTAGATAGCGACAGATCCGGTAACGCACAGAATCAGGCAGTCGGAAATACCCAGAAGTTGGTTTCTTTCTCGCATGGTTCTCATAGAAGGATTTAAGCACTTTTTCGAAGCTCCCTTTCTCAAAAGCGCCGTGATACACAGCATCGAGTGTCCGATCCCAAGCCGGGAGCCCTTGACGATGCGCACTCTGCGACACGCCCAGCCCAGGGAACACGGTAGAAACAGGCGTAGAAGGCTGTGAGCGGTTCCTCCAAGAGGATGGATTAGAAACACTTCTTGTGCGCGCTTTCGCACTGCCTTGAAGGGGCATTATGAGGTCAGCCGAGCTATTGTGGTTATGGTGCAGAGGTAAAGACTGGAGACGCACTCATCCTCAGAGTCTCGAGACGCTCAGAAATGTCATTTTTGGTCTTGATTGAGCCGACGCGACGGAGGAGGGAGGTTGCAGATGTGGAGGGCGATATAGAAGGCGATGATGATACTGGAGTCCCCATTGCGGCGACGCTGTCACTGCCCTGGCACTGGCACTGGCACTGGCACCGGCGCAGACTTTACCCATTTCTCTATACAGACTGGATCAAGGGATAGGTAATTAAACAATGCGAGGTCCAAGATGTGAGGGATTATTAAACAAGTCGTCGTTTCCTGTGCTAAAGCTTACGTAGAGAAGATAAACTTTGGTCCGTCTGGTGACTTACAAATAAGACATCTAGTATGAGGTAAGTACAGGTTAGGCAATCCCTAACGTCGTCGTACGATTCATGTAGTCTACTCTACTGCCCATACAGCATTTGACAGCGGAAAGTTACAGTCTTATCTGTCTGAGGCGTCTTGTTGTTTCTTCTTTGAGTATCCAGTTGCTACTAATCTTTATTTGGAAGTTATTTCATTGAGGTACCTATCATATCACTTACTCAAAGCGAACTTTCCATTCTGCGACAGCATTTACACTTCAAGCAAGACATTTAATACTTTAACTCTGATGCATGAAAGCCAAAACGATACATTCAATCATATGAACCACTTTTACTTTCCAATATGGCGAATACAAGAATCGTGGCCAATGTGTGGTCCATAGAGTCTGCTACTTGTCGTGGAAGACACCTTGGTTCAATCATGTAAGTGACTACAACGAAGGGGCTTTTTCCTCAAGATTTTTTATCTGGACTCATCATGGCAAAAGACCGAAGTGTCGTGAATTGGTCTGACCTCCAGAAGAAGGAGGAAGTCTCTGGGTTGAGGGCCATGCAGTCAATGCCTTGTCCCCAGCAAAACGCAGTGAGTTCTTCAAAGTAACTCTTTCTAAGCACCAACCTTTCGTGCGCGCAATATCCAATATTCTCATAAACTTTTGAATGAGCCTTTCAGCATAAAGGCAAACATCTTTAAATAAGTTACGTCTTTCCTCTCCTTCCACTCCAACTTCTCTCTCCGTTTATCCTCAAGTCTTTCCGTCTCTCATGATTATATGATCTTATTGGACTCCAGGCTCAACAAACATCAATTTCATCAACTTGATATCCTCTACCATGTTATCCTCAACCCCTATAACGGTCTTGGACCCCAATGTCGTCATCCCTTCATTATCTACAAGAGTCAGAAGCAGCTTGGCCATGCCAACTCAAATATTAGTCGCCCGAAACTCGACTGGAAACACAACAACAAACATAACCGCCAAAGCCAAAGACTCTCCGATCTTCTACCCCGACAGTGAAGGCATCATTTCCTTGGCAATTCTTGCAGGCATCTTGGCTTTCTTCGTGGGACTCGTACTCCGAGATCTCCTTGACAGGAGACGCACTGGCGAATTCAAGGAAGACAAAAGGAGCTGTCTAAGGTTTTTCCGAACACTCTGTCACCTGCCTTGTCTGATGTGTAGCAAAGACAACTGGAAGCAACTGTGGATCAAGTTCGCCAATCTCTTCCGCTCCAAGGCCAACCAGCGCGTGGTGAAGAAGGCGGGTCAGGACGGAATCGAACTGGTCCAAAGACTCGAGAATGGGAAAAACGTCGGGACATTTAATGGTGCCTGGTCGCCCAAGCCGGCCTTTAATAGGAAGAGTGGTTCCAAAGGCAAGGCCGTCGACACTACCGTTCTCCCTCAGGTAGCCGATTTCAGCGTGGATCATGGCCAAGACGGTCAAGGTTTCGAATCTACTCCTGTACGTGGTGCCAGCTCAGGGTCTGTCCGACACGGCTCTTCTGAACATGATAATGCTTCGGGCATCTACAATCCCAGAGATTTGTACGCCGAACAAACAGGTTCCAGCTCGACGAATCACCACCACGGCGCTGGTTCGAGTTCAGCTTCAGCCGACTGTAGCCATTGGTGGTCGTCGGGTCATGGCCATGGCACTAGCTACAGTCACAGTCATAGCAACTCCCACAGTCATGATCACGGGTCGTATACTCATGATTTCGGCCACACTGACTCTGGTGGCTTTGATGGATGCGATGGTGGCGGCGACTAATACTGGTTACGAAGTTACGAATGGGATGCTTTTAGATGCTCTGTACTGGTTGAGAATCACCGTCTGGTTGACTTGCTTTGGGCGGATTAGCCTTGCTAGAAGAATATGCTGGGTGTTGATCGATGGTTCTGATGCAAGAATCTCGGTGGTCGACACGGAGTTTTCGATGGTCAGAGCAGTCTTGTATTGGTACACTACTGGGAACGTATTGCGCTGTAGAATGCCAGTAGAAATAGAAAGGCAATGTTTATCTGCCGTCTAGCCACCTGGTGAATGTAAGTGAAGAGTTCCACATTGGGTTCCTCCACGATTTAAAATTCGTCTATATATACTGTTGCATCACGCCTATCTATCACATACGACCAAAGCTCGTAGAAAATACGGGATCCCGTCCGCTCTCCCATAGTCAAGCTGCGAAGCGCTGGATTAGTAGTTGGGTCGGTGACGACCAGCGAATCCCCGGTGTTGTATGTTTTTTGTCAATTCTTCTTCTTTTTGTGGATAAATTGCGTGTGATCATAGCCTTTAACCGAAGTGTTATGTTTAGGTGTAGAGTCAAGGTAGTGAGTGGATGGTTGGTGTTGATGAGAACGAGGAAGCTCCCCCTCCTCTATATTAACAACCTAGAAAACACAGAGCGTAAGCAACAAACACAGTACAAAGAGACATAACGGAGATCACGCCGACCGGGCCTCAGGTAAGATCGGATTAGCACTTTCTTTAACAGCTTAGGATTAAGAACTTAATGGTTCGCAGGTTAAAGAACTTAGCCTCCAATCCTATACTGTAGCGACGGCTGCTGAAGACATTGAATCTGGTCCGGTAATGAACCGTACCTGATAAAGAAAATGAAGAGGTTTCTCTTCTTAGGTAAATTGGATTTCTTGCATTTCTTATGCGAGGTAGGTGCAGACTCTCCCTGTTGATGATCATCCTTGCCATGATCTACAGAGTGGTTGCTGCAGAGTATATGGTAGATAAATGCCTTTGACATGGGGTAAACAAGTACGCGACAAGCCATGCAGCAAGTCAGCAGTCTCAACGATCAAGAGGAGTATCATATCTCTTTCCATATTTGTTGAGGCACAGTAAGTTGTCTTGGCCAACGAAAGGCCAAGGACAAGTTTCCGGCGATTGGCATCTGTGCAACTTACACGGACACACCGTACACGAAGCTGTTTTCGTGCGCGGATATTAGTCTGTTTGCCGATACAGAGCCTGGTTTAGTGCATTATCTGATTAAGCAACGGCCATCAAGAACTTCGAAGTGTCTATGCCATCTTGCAGAACGGGCGTTGTCCATCTAATCAAGACATAAAAGATATCGATATCTTGGTCCGGGGATTGATACGAGGTTACTAACATTTGGCTGACCGGCAGTTGTGCCGCTTAAAAGTGGCTGCAGGGCGATTACAGGGGTCTTGTCACTGAGCCGTAGCACCCTCAGGGGCAGTTACCTTCCATTCCGGGCGTCTTTCGGCGTGTCGACCAATGATACTCTCTTGGGATGTGTCAAGTGACGTAACATTTAATAACAGAACAGTCGGCGATTGCAATTTGATCGGCGACCAAAATAATGTCCACGCTCTGTGAACCTCAAGAAAGCGACTGTAAGTCACGATGCTTGTCTCGGCATCTCATCTCAGGTAATTGCTTTCTTCTGACTCGTTCCTGTTGTTCACGTGTCACGTTGCTCACCGCTGGGCTTATCATGAAGTAGAGAAGGGCTTATATAAAGTGAGATTCTTCATCTCACTCAAAGTTTCGATGATTGTTCTCCGAGATATTCCCCGACGTCATTTTCGTTAGAGATCCATTGCGAGTCCACTGTGACGTCTACTAGAGATTTGTTTCATTTGCGACGACACTCACATAGTGTTTTTGGCGATGTATTGTTGCTCATTATTGAAGTGATCCTCTCTTAATTCTTCTGTAGCCATGTTCTCGCGATCAACACGGCGCTTGGCCAGCCAGCTACGACCCCTACGATCTTTATCTATCCCTGCATCACAAGCTCCCGCGAGGGTACAATCTCGCACCTTCATCGCAACACGACTCACAAGATCTGCATCAACAAAACCTCCCGCCTCCGATAAGTCTGCGACGATATCGAGAGATCCAAGCACTTCCTTCGCATTTCTCCTCGCTGGAGCAGCTTCCTTCTACCTCGCATACAGCTTCGCGCAACAACCTCCTACACGATGCGACGCCATTGCCCATGACGAAAACGACCATGATCCTCGAGATCCTTCTCTTCCTCGATATCGCATCAACGAGGTGCGCAAGCACGATGCTCATTCTGATCACCCCTGGGTCATCCACCGCGACAAAGTCTACGATATAACCGAATGGATTGGCGCGCATCCTGGCGGCGATGTTATTCTTCGCGCTGCTGGTGGCTCCATTGATCCCTACTGGGATATCTTTTCTATACACAAAAATGACTACGTCTACGATATTCTAAACCAGTACCTAATTGGGTACGTCGACCCGGCAGATCTCGTCGATGGGCGACCGGCGCGAGAAGAGATCGAGGATCCTTTCTCGGATGATCCCGTTCGACATCCAGACTTGATTACAATGACGCAGAAGCCCAGAAACGCAGAGACGCCAGCTTATGCTATGACGAACGATTTCCTTACGCCTAATGATCTTTTCTACGTGCGCAACCACATGTGGGTGCCATCAATCACCGAGGACCCGAACAATCACAATCTCACGATAGAACTTCCTGACGGAACCACAAAAGAATACACCCTCGCTGACCTCAAGAACCGATTCAAGTCCCACAAAGTCACAGCCTCTCTTCAATGCTCTGGTAACCGCCGGCGACACATGAATGAGGAATCAGGTCGCAAAACAAATGGTCTTCCGTGGACTGCTGGAGCTATCTCAAACGCCTGCTGGGAGGGCGTCTTGCTCTCGGACGTACTGGCAGATGCAGGCTTTGATCTGCATTCGGGCCTCACAGGAGAATCCGAGGCAAAGCACGTTCAGTTTAGCGGCCTAGAAGCTTACGGTTCATCGATTCCTATTAAAAAGGCCATTGATCCCCAGGGCGACGTAATACTCGCCTACAGAATGAACGGCCAGACTCTCCCGCGCGATCACGGGTTTCCTCTACGAGCTATTGTTCCTGGACATGTTGCTGCACGATCTGTCAAATGGTTGAACCATGTCACGCTGAGTGACGAGGAGAGCACATCTCAGTGGCAGCGACGCGACTACAAGTGTTTTGGACCGAACCAGACCAAAGTCGACTGGGATTCAGCACCCGCCATTCAAGAATTACCTGTCCAAAGCGCCATCACAAAGTGCAAACTTGGCGATTGGACAGCCAAGGATGACAATTCTCACACCTATACAAAACCAGCTTCACTGTCTGGCTACGCATACTCCGGTGGAGGCCGCGCCATCGTTCGCGTCGATATCTCTTTCGATAACGGCAAAAACTGGTCTCAAGCCTCCATTCTTCCCGACTGTTCCACAAAAGAGGGTGAAGAATCGCCTTGCTATGGTCACGCAGCCTGGGCATGGCGAAGATGGAAGTTTGACGGTGCGGTCCCTTTGGAGGCGTTTGAACCCGCACCATCAGGGAAGCGATGTGCGACTTTCGTTGTGAAAGCTACAGACGAGGTGTACAACACACAACCAGAGAGTCACGCAGCAACATGGAATATTCGCGGTAATCTTGCTACAGCGTGGCATCGCGTGAAGGTCTACGATGATGGTCCTACGGGGTCAGAAACAAAAGCCTAGAATTGGCTGAATAGCATTGGCGGTGGATTTTGCAGTTTTGGCTGGAGTTTGAGAGCAGGCGAAATGGGTTTGTTACAGGACGAGCGATATATGGCAGTCATTACAGCCATACGCACAATGGGTGCTTAATTATTAGAACGACTTACGTCAGAGTGTATCATCATTCTTTAATCGAGTTGATGACAAAATAAAACCACAGATGGTAGACCACCCAATTCTATTCTCGACTAAGTGAATACATCGTCCCCAGGCATATTGTACATCAGCCTTCGCTCCGTACCCGCTCTATTCGCTTGATCTGCCCTTCTAAGTGTACAATCCAACTATCTCCACTGTATCGTCCTCACTTTTGAACTGTTCTGAGACATATTCACACCTACTCGTCATCTTCGTCGTCATCCTCCCCAGCATCGGTGAAGTACTCGAACTCCTTAGGAACAGGGGCCTCTTCATCGTCATCCGAGTCTTCATCGACAGCGGTCAGTACACCTGCAGCAGCGGCAGCGCCTGAGGCGTTACCACCAGGAGTCTGGGGCTCAGCGTCGAGCAAACCAAATGGCGATCGACCTTGGTTGCGAAGCAACTGTCCGAGCATAGCGCTGTTGGCTCCTCCTCTCGACTCGGCAAGACTATCAAGCACAGCACGCTGAGCCCCGCCTCGTCCGCCTCGTCCAGTTTGTTGACCAGCCACAGGGGCCCGTTCCGTGGTGACCTTCTTGAGCTTCTCCTCAAGTAGACTCTTCTCCTCCTCGGGTTCGCTATCAAGCAGTAGCAGGGGACCACCAGTAGGCTGTAAATGTTAGCAATGCAAACGACGCAGAAAGACTTGTATGCTCACCTTCTTGACGGGCTTGTATCGGCCAGCGGGGAAGCTGACATACTTCAGTTGACCAGGAAGAACTCGGGTCATGTTCTCGATTTCGTAGCCAACCTTCTCCTTTTCGGGCTTCTTCTTGGTATCGGTGGAAGCAGCCGGTTCCTTCTCTTGCTCTTCCTTCTTATCCTTAGCCTCGTCCGCCTTCTTGTCCTCGTCCACGTCCATCTTGTCGCCACCACTCTTAGAGGGGGCGGTGTCGATTTCCATGCTCTCTCTTCGCTGAGCGCGCTCCTTCTTCTGGGCTCGTCGTTTGGCCTGCGCAGTTGTTGATAGAATTGCGGTGGCAATCAGGGCAGGACCTTCTTCGGTCTTGACTTCTTGCTCAGGAGGGTAATCGAAGAGGCTAGGTCGTGTAGCGCAGTGGAACTTGAAGTTGGGTATCTCAAGGTCATGATCAAGTCCAATGATGGAAGTGGGAGAGAAGCTTAGCGACAGGAAGTGGGTAAAGGGGAACCAGTACCAATATTGTGTGAACACAGCCATGCCAACAATGCCGGCCATATTGAGGTTGCCAGTCTGGGTTTGGAGGCCGATAGTGCAATTGCGGCCACCAGCGTCAATGATACCAAGCGCGAGAGCAGCACCGAACTTGGTCATGGCATCCTCGTGACGGTCGCCAACCACCTTCTTCAGAGTCTTGCGGATCGATGAGACCTTGGGGTTCATAACCTCGTTCTGCTGAACAAGAATCATGGCAAGAGAGATGAGGGCACCCTGTCGGACAAAGTCTGTGGGATCCTTCATCATAGGTTCGAGCAGGTCAATGGCCTCGTCAAGACCTGTGCCAGCGCATGAGATACCCAGAGCCATGGCGGAACCGTATCGCACGTGAGGGTTGTATGATTCGGAGAGGAGTTCAACCATACGAGGCACGCTTCCAGGCTTGCGGAAGAGGATGAAACCCAGACTCATGACTGCGATACGACGGACGTCATCATTGACGTCGCTGACAGCAATATGAAGGAGCTTTCGGATAGCCTTGTTGCTACCGGTGCCGCAGTACGCAAGAGCAACAGTCATGATTCCACCGTATCGCAGCGTGGGATCAGGGTCGTTGAGAAGTCCTTCGATAAGAACATCGGCTCCTTCTTGGCGGCCAAACATAATAAGTGCCATACCAATAGCAAGACCACGGACAATCTTCTCATGAGTGGTTTCGTGCGCATATGTAATCATATCCTCCAGAGCCTTGACATTTCCGGTGCCAAGCATGATGAGACCCATGGCCAAGCCAACAGCCTCACCATTGAGTGCAGAATCCTGGAACAGGATTTCTCGAAGCTTCTCAAAAGTTTCCCAGTCGCCAGTGGCCATGCCAGCAATACCCAGACCCAGAGCACCACCATGCTGAACGACCTCCTCCTCAGCCTGACCAAACTGCTCCTTTAGGTAGTCCAGAGCATCGGCTCCATGGTTGGCATGGATCAGTCCGTAGGCGTAGAGAGCACCTCCCTGACTGAAGATAGAGCCACTGCTGAGGCCACCTTGTCGGGGAAGATAAGGTTCGAGGAGCTTTCTAGATTGAGAAAGGTTTCCGCGGTGAATAACACCGAGAGCGGCAGTCGCCGTGAACTTGGACCAGTTGACTGCCTTGCCCAGCCACTCCAAGTTATCGCGGAAGAACTTGTCGTTTGTGGTTCCTTGGTTCATAAAGGCATTGCAAAACGTGACCGCAGTGTGGAAGATGGAGTTTCGGCCCTCAAGGCTGTCGCGGACCTTGTTGAGGATGCTCAGATCGGTTCTGTTGTTGCGGTAGAGGAACTCGAGGTTGAGACGGATGGTCTTGCTGCCATCAAGAATTTCTCGGATATTGGAATAGGCCTTGGATACTGGTTCAGGGAGCTCGTCTTCGGGGTCTTCCTGCTTATTCTGCATCAGAGATTCGCTCTCGTTGGACTGTTCACCGTTCTCGTCTGTCTCCTTCTTGACAGGCTTGCTAGCTGGGAGTGATGCAAGAACCTTGCCGAGAAATTCCTGTGTACCGTTGTCGTAAAGGTCGAAAGCAATTTGATAGGCGTTGGCGATGGAAGAACGGTCGCCCTTTTCGACAAGACTGCGCAGCATGCGAGATGCTTCCTCATCTGAGTTAAGGTAAACGACACACTTCGCGATGGCAAAGTAATCCGGGTTGGGAATATCGTTGAGGAGATCGAGAATTAGCCTCAGAATTTCTGTTCGGAAGGCCCTCTCCTGAACGATGTCCATGCAAACACCCAATGTGTACTCCATGAGATCCTCTGCCGGGCCAGGAGAGTTCTCGAGAGGGTTAGACTTAGCCTTCTTCTCGTCATCGCTAGCGCGCTTGATGACGCTTCGAAGAACATCGAGCTTTTTGGCCTCAACCGCAATACCCACCACTTGCCTGTAGCGACCCTGCTCTAGGCAGCTTTCGAAAAGCCTCTCAACAACCCTCTGAAGCGAGCTGGTAGCCTGGTCGGGGAGCTCAGCGATAGAGCCAGATCGGCCTTGCTTAAAAGCAGGCTGGAAGGTGGCCTCAACCATCGTGTTGTCGATCGAGTCACGGGAAAGAAGAGACTTGGGAGGTAGTGTTGTCTGCGAAAAAGGTGTGGTGGGAGACATGACAGCACCCTCGGCGCCACTCGCGAAGGTAGTAGCCAACTCGGGGAGGTCGGTGTTCTTTGAAGCCTGAGGAGCCGCCTTCTTCGCAGCATTCACTGCGATGTACTGGTCGACGCATTTAGAAATAATGGTCTCCTCGAACTCGCCGGGGGAATCGAGCTTGAAAAGATCACCGGCGGCGAGGGCAAAGACCATGCTATCATTGTAGGCTTGGAGATGGTAGTAGACCTTGGCAAGGACAAGAGCAGCGAGTTGACGCTCAGGGAACGACTCGTCCTCGTAGAGTGCCTCGCTGGGAGACAATGTTAGCGAAGCTTATCATACCATGAAAGGCGAGACGCGAAGATGACGTACATCTGTGTCAACACAGCAGCGACCTCAGTCCAGACGGTATCGATATCGTCGTTGAGGGTCTGCAGAGCGAAGACCTTGAGTTCGGGCTCCTCGTCAGTAAGGAAGGCGAGAACGCCGGTAGCCGAGACGATACCGGGCATCTTGACAGAGTATGAGGGATCGTGCGGGCGTGCGAGAAAGGTCCGGAGCAATGCGAGCGGCGATGCGAGAGGTTGCTGGGGTAAGAATGGTCGAGTAGTAGAGAATGCGTTATTTCCGTGTAGGCCCAATGGCATAAACAGGGCCCGGGAACGGAATTATAAAGTTTGTGCAGAAACAAAGGAGATGTCAAGAGAATTACAAGAGTCGGAGGCGATGAATTGGTTGGTGTTTTGCTCCAGCAGGGTCGTTCCGAGAAAGGTCCACGTCAGGCACAGCTCTGCCTTGTAGTAGGTGCACGGGCCAACCAGAGCTCCAGGCAGGAGCAGAATTACATAAGCTCCCTACTCCCCAGTACAAGCACGTGACCATTGGATGTCAAGATAGCACGCGACAGGGAGATGAATTGCACCATGCAACACTAGGTACCAGAGCGCTGAGTCGTTGTGGGTTTCGAAAGGTCGTGTGGATGTAATCATTCATTGCTCTCAATAACCTGTCAAATTTGCAGGCCGCCTCAAGCATATCCCATAATTCCTCCTCCATACATACACAAGAGACTTATTCACCAAAGCCAGATTCGCCCAAGCTACTAAGGTAATCATGCTATTATCATCACGTGAAAAGCAGTACAAAGTGTAGAGAAGAACCGCACAAGTCGAAAGGAAATCGTTTCCCTGTCAATCGGGGGTTTCCTCCAGAAATGCTGTGTTCGGAAGAGGATGCCTTCAGAATATTTTCTTACTGTCATGAACATGGGTAATCATGGGGAACATGTGACAGGACGTGATGATAGCTAATACCGATCAGAGAAACAGTGTTCAAGAAAGCTGTCTGGAAACTTATCCTACTCCTTGGCGATACAAGCGAGGATGTCGCTCAAGCGAACTACCTGTCAAATATCACCATCACTCTTACACGGCTGTCTGTTATCTGGGGCTGATATAACTACCTTAGGCATTACAGACTTGAGGCTCTGCCCTAGGGAGGAAAGAAAACTCGGGGCCTCGATCCTAAATGGCAAAAAGACTTCGGTAACTTAGCATATCTAAGTTTAGTATACCTTCTACTGAGTTTATTCTGGTGACCCAAAGGCCACATTAACGTTAGCCAAGGCGGCATTGGACTAGCAAGCTAGAGCTTCATGTGATACGCCATCAGCTTTGGACTAACTTTGACTAGATTCCGATGTACAGTATACACGATTCTCATGCACGTACTGCCGCAAATACTTTTCGATGAATTTGTGGCTAGCGCTCGTGCCTATGTTGCTATTGTGAAGCTGAACTCCAAATCCCATGGAGTTCCGCTGCCCCTGGTTCGTAACTCAACTATGACGTCGAGTACAAGTTCCTTTTGTATGAGAAACATCGGGGTTTTTGGAGCAAGCCAATGCTTACAAGAAGATCATATAAACATGCTGATTTGATAAGGCTGATGTCCTTTAAGCTTAAGGAGATTGCAAAGGACTTGACCCTCCACAGGAATCAGAGTCTGACCCTGGCGTTTGAGTCTGGTGCAATTTATCTCGGGACATATGGAAAAGTAACAAGTAGCGTGTCTCATCTTTAATTCGCTAACCTGATTTGCGTAATGCTAAGCCTCTCCGGGGGTTGATGATCGGTACCTAGATCTCCATTGAGCTCGCAGCACGGAGAATGTACTGCTAGTAAAAAATGTTTGGGGAACGCTATCGCTAATAAAATTTGTCCCTGGGCCATGTCCAGTACGTACAGTTGCGTTAGGTGAGGTAGTACCGCCCGTGGGCATATCCCTGGAGCTCTAGCGTCAGGCTGTCGCCTGTCCATCTTTGTTTGTCGCCAGAAAACGACGACAGGACACCAACACAAATATTAATCAATCTCTAGAACTATTCCAAGGCGCGAATAACCTCCAGCGCACACGATCCATCGATAATATCATCCGAACGAGCGTCTTTCAGCCGCGTCCGTCTGTTTCTGTACGCGATTTCTATTCGCCAATCGTCAATCGTCAATTCGACAGCGTGGCAGCCTCGCCATGGCGACGTAGAAACATCCCAACCAGTCATCCATGTCCACCTGCGCCGTCCTCCTCGCGCGACAACGAACGTCCTCCATCGCCTCAACAGCGTCATAGATCTATATCAGTTGAGGACAACATCTGTCTATACTCAGTTGCGCTCCCGCCGCGTCGACTACCTGGTTCAAGACAAGCGACCTGCACTGCAATTGTTTTGTGGTCTCCCAACTTCGAGGCGTCGTGTTGTCGCAGAATCTTCATTCTTTCCTCATCACGACACCATCGCCATGGATCTCCGCTCAGTTCTCAATACGTCTGATGGCGGCGATCGCGCTCCGGCCAAACCTGCGCCAAAACCGCAACCGCCGCCGCAGCTACATCAGCAGCAGCAGCAGCAACCTCACCCCCAGCAGATGCAACGACCATCGCAGAGTCCGGCCCAAGCACCCGCTCCTCCTCCGTACTATCGCGAGTACGGCCGCCATCCACCGCCGCAACCTTCGCCAGGCAAACCGATGCCCCAAGAATATCCTCCGCATGCTGGCCATCCTCATCACGCTCAGTCACGACCACCGTCGCATCCTCACCCATCTCCCCATCAACCACCGCCCGGTGCGTATCCACCACAATCTCCGTACCAGGCTCCCGGGCCATATCCAGGACGTCCTGCACCCCCTCCGCTACAGCCAACAGGCTCTTTTCACGATCCACGGTCCCCAAGCGTCCAGACTCCAGGTCAATCCCCTTATCGAACATCAACGACTCCGTCGGCCGTAGCAGCTGCCGCAGGCTATCCTTTTCCACCAACTCAGTCCCCTGGGGAGATGGCCAGTCCAATCCAACGGCACCAATATTCACCTACTCAATACGCAACTCGTGAAAGCTTCTCTCAGGGCCCACAAGGCGTGCCACCAGGCCATGCACCTGGTCATTATCCTCCGACTCAGCAACAACACCCACAAAGCTCTATCCCACAGGCTCAGCAATATCTGAATCAGCGTCCTCCCTCAGCTAGTCATTCTGCCCATTCTACTCCGACTCCAACATCCGCTCAACCACATCATCCCTACAGCTCTTTTGCACAAGGTAGTCCTGTCACAGCTTCGCGCCCACCGCCTGCCGAATACAATCGTCAACCTTCGCAACCACCCACGCCTGTCGGTCCTCCTTTGTCTGCCGGATCTCGACAAGCATCAGTTACAGGCGGTTTTGCACAGCCTTCGAGTCCTTACCAACAAAGACTTTCCTACACTGGAGCGCCCATACCGCAAGCACAGGCACAGGTACAAGCACAGGTACAAAGCTCACCTCCGCCTCCGCTTCACGCGAAGCGCATATCTAGTAGCTACGGTTCGCCCGCTCCCGACATACACCGACGATCCCAATCGCATAGTGAACGAGGTCCCAGCCCATCCGTTAGCCCCAAATCTCGAGTTCCGTCGATTCAAAGCAACCACGATCCACTTGCTGCATCGGCGGCAGCAGACGCCAAAGCCAAACTAGCTCAATCGGCTCCTATACCCCAACCAACCCAGCCAATGGCCATCGACACAGAACGCGCGGCAACTCCTGCCAAGCGCAAGCTTGAGGATCGCGACAGCCCCAGACAAGAGCCCGAGGAGAAACGAATGAAGCCCAGCGAGGTTAACGGCGGCGTTGCTGTGAAGCGCGAATCTGAGTCGGCTTCTTCCAGTGTACCGGCAGCTGCGGCGGTCAAGAAGCGAAGACGCTACTCACAGCCGCCTATCTGGGCACAAGATGCTCGAAAAATAAACAGCATGCCTACGAATGCGAACTTCGTGCTGCAAAAGAGAGTCCATTCACATCTCAACGGAAAGAAGGAGAACGCCCGTCCCAGCCGCCATGCTTCGCCAGAGACAAACCGGGGCAACCCTCCTCCTCACGTTCCCGCTGCTGAACCAGGCCCCCAAGAGATTCTTGGACCTTGGGAACCGAGTCTTACTGGCCTCAAACCTTTTGAGGACGTGTCAAGACAAGTGGCTGATTTCCTCTTCCTCAATGTTATCAACACTCCGGATATGAGGGAAATCAGTAGTCGCGGGATCCAGTTTGAAATTGAAGCGAAATTGGGCACTCTCATCGACAGAGATACCAATCAACGAGTTGATCGAGGTATTGCGTCTGAATGCATCTTGATGGACAACAGCCGTGTAGCTTTTAAGAGTAGCATGACGGAAGTGAGTGTTTCGGCATCTTCTTCATTCTTAACGTCGCTAATGGTGTTTTAGGGCTCACACAAGAAGATGAACGACTACCTGAACGAACTAGTCAAAATCACACATCCCATGAATCCAGTTGGCAGCCAACGTGTACCCATCGTTGCTCTGCACCGGAGAGAGAGAGACCGGTTTTTCGAGATTCCACCAGATCTACAAGCAAGGATACCTGGATGCGTGCGAAGCCGACTGGGATCGCGAAGAGCAGTCCGCGTGAGAGTCACATACAACCAAAAGGACAACAAGGTCATTGCCAAGATCATCAAGGCACGCGTATCTGACCTCGATATTCACTTTCCTATGTTGCCAATGGACTGTCGAATCAGTATCAACCTCGAAATGAACTGGGACGGCTCGGTGGAAGAACTGGAGCAGCTTCCAAATCGTGATCGTGGGGAAAACCCTGAGCGAAACAAGGACCGGCTCAGTTACACACACGGACCCTACCAGGTTGACCTCACGCAGGTCATACAAGATCGCCACGGAGTAAGCTCCCAAAGCCCCAGACAGCATTTCGGCTCAACTAACAATATTGCAGGTAAAAGAGAAGGAGCATGAACTTGAGATTGAACTCGACTCGAAGCTACTGATCGACCAAGGGAGCAAGGCAGCGAGTTCAAGACCACACCGCTACCAAGAGCTTGTGGAAGGATTTGTGGACAATATACGGCTTCTTACACGTAACGTGGCACACTGAACGGCAATAGATCATTTTAATTACCGGCGATAATCTTGGCTAAAAGGACGGGGTTCGCGGCGCTGTGTTTACAAGAGTTGGCTCTGAAGGAATACCAAGAATAAATCAACTTATCTTTTGTGATCTCAACCCATTTCTATGATGTTGAAAGCTGTCCTTCTGTTTGCGCAATGTCGCGCTTGATGTACAAAAAGTCCGTGGTTGGACGCAACAAATGATCGCAACCTCATTTCCAACTCGAGATCTGGCTCAAGTTGTCAAAATAACAGTAGATCAAGACATGGGTACGTTACCAACAGCTAGGCCGATAGGAGTCCAACAGTTATGATTTCTTCACGGAAGAAGGCACAGTCAAAATCATTGCGGGTTTCATAGGTTTCGGCTACCCTACATCATCAGGATGTTTTATCTGCGAATCGAACAATCTTCAGTCAAACATGAGGAACCTGCTGCACAAGTGCTGCCTTCTTCGAAGGATTAAATGAAAATACAACACTCCGGTTCAGCACTTTTTCTCCCGTGCCAGCTGATATATGGAATGGTAAAAGATGAATTTTGGTGCCGCTTTACTGTCAGATAACACATTCACAAATGTACGCCTTGCATAGTCGCACAATCAACTTCTCATAAACATGTTCTTCATTATCGTATGTACTCAAATCATCAACCATTCATGGCCTATATCCGGTATTGTACCCCCTTGTTGGCGCTGCACCTCGGTGGTCGTCCTCATAAAATGCTTCAAAGTCAGTGCCAGCATATCGACTGGCCGCAGGCACCGGTATTGTGTCTGCCTGTTCGTCAAAGCCCGTTCGGCCAGTCCCTCTTGACTCATGAACTTCCCCTGCGATCCAACTTAGGTAAACTGTCTCGTGTACAAGCACATAGCCGCCCGACTTCTCTCCCGAGTCATCAGAACCATCAGCACTTTCGAACTCGGGCTTCTTCTCCACGACAAAGATCTCGTTCCTCTTCTGTTTCCGGCGCCATGCAAAAGAGACGAAGCCGAGGAACCAGAGAATGCTGCCACCGATGACGGACCATGTGATGACTGGGACAAGCCACCACTGGAGGCTTTGTGGTGTTGAGGGCTTGATCCAGATAGTGACAATGGGCCACAAGCCACCAATTACGTATATAACCGCGCATATAACGCTGAGTGTCGGGTTGATATGCTTGCCAGTCATCTGTCGCCAAGTCTGGGGAACTGCTGCTGGGCTGTGAATCTCATCCTTGTCTGTTTGTGGTGGTCCCTTGAATCGGAGGATCAGGATACCAAGACCCAGAAAGATGCCAAAGAAGGCATTGATGACATATGCGCTCAGACTTGTGAGTAAAGTGTATGAATTGAAGTAGTCCATACCCCAAGTGGCGAAGATGAGAATGAAGCAGGATGTAAGGTGCAAGACGAAGGCACCAACAGGCGTTTTCTCTCTGTGGTCTTCGGGAGAGAGCCAGCGTGTGCTCAGAAGAGAGCTGAACATACCCTTCTTCTTGAGCCATGATAGCAATCGACCCAGAGAGATGTCGCCGTCTTGAGCAAAGAACTTGGCGTAGGGAATGATACCTTCCTTGGCGATCTCTTGCTTTACCCGTGCAGCGGTGTAAGTCATCACAATGATGTTACCCATGCTTGATATGGCAAGGAAAGCGTTGAAGATCCGCTGGCCAGTCTCGTCTTCGGTCAGGGAGCCGAGAGTTCTCTCGAAGAATTCTTGCGCTACGTTGGTGCTTATTTGATCCTTCTCTGGGACCACGACCATCTGAGGAGGGTTAGGCCATGGTAACGCTGGGACGGGAAACGATACTTACATATGAGATGTTGACAGCCATATAAAGCACAATGGCAATACCGACACCAAGCATCATGGCGATCGGATGCTTTCGCCTTGGCCTGCTAATCTCACCCATGACATAGTTGGGTTGTTCAAAGCCAGAGAAGCTGAAGATGATGGCCAAGAAAGCGTGAGCATAGCCATTAGCATCACCAGAGTCTGCAAAGGCACGAGATGGCTGAGTATTTTCCGAGATATAGTTCTTGACCTTCTCGCCCTTGGTAGTCTTTAAAGCTCCGGCACCAACCACAATAGCTGTCACGATAATGAGTAGGAGGATCATGACTTTTATGATTGCCAGCATGTTGTTGAGAAGAATGCCTGCTCGTCGAGAGAAGGTATGGATGAAGCAGGTGAGGATTGCTATTCCGATAGCAATACCCCTGATGGCTCCAGGAGCCGGGTCAGTATTGCCAGATGCGTATAGCACTCGTGTAGCAAAGCTGATACAGTTGCCCGCCATGTTTCCGAGAGCAATGAAACAGAAACCGAACATGCATGTACTCAAGAGTACGGTGCCTCTTCTATATGCAGGCTTTTGGTAAACATATTGGAGGTAATTGAGGTCACCGCCACTGCGAGGTACGCTCTGTTCAATGCCGTTGATGGTGTAGCGGGGAACGTTGAGACCGTACTCTATGTAGACATGGACGCCTGAGAGACAGTATATCATGCCCGCCAGCCAGAGGAGAAGAGATGCGCCCGTTGAACGGGTTCCTTCCATTACTCTCTGTGGCGAATTGAAGATGCCGGTTCCTGTGATGAGAGTTAGCGCTTCATTTGCAGAGTAGCACAGCGTTTCCAGGCCATATTTCCGTTCTGATGTAACCACCAAGTTTCAACATCGTGACAAGAGCAGAAGAAATGAATGACGAAAATAAGAGGATCAGCTTCCCTAATAGAGAAACTGCATTGTTTTGACACATGGAAACTCAAGCTTGGGCCAGAAGGAGCGAGCCATGGATCTTGATATAAGCAGACTTCCCCACTTGGGTCTCATCCGATCTCTGGGCTCTCAACTTAATTTCAACTTCAACACAACATCACCAAATCCAATATGAAATACCGGCGACAACTCGACGAATCGTATCCAAGAACTCCCTAAAACAATGGAAACTCACCAATCATTCGGTTAAGAACCAGGCACATGACATCAAAGTACCCAAGCTTGAAGGCTTCCTTGGGTGCTGATGTAAAGATGCCATTGGGATTATCGGTCTCCCTAAAGATCACCGAACGGTCGCTGTCCCATTCTGGCTCTTCACGTCGTGGTGGCTCACGGCTGTGCTCCTGATATGCTGCAAAGTCGTTCATTGTGTGGTCTGTATGCAGCCGAAAGCTGCAGCTCAAAGGGGACGAAAGGCTGGAGATGGTCTGGGAACCAGCTTACACGTCAATTCGAAGCCAAAGTTGGCAACGAGTCAACAAACTCTCAGAATTGATACAGACAATGGCAAAGAGCAAGCTACGATATGAGCTACACAGCTACCTGGGACCATGGGTATTAAGTAACGCTCTCGAAACTCATGCAGGCAGGGTTCGACGATCACACCAAAGCCGGGCGTAGAGCAATCAGCCCAGAATGGCAGACTAACCAAGCAAAGGGCGGAATTCAAGCCTCATCACCATCGTGTGACCTTATCAACTCCCTGCAGGGGCTGGTCGTTCTAGGCAGACTTCCCCTCACTTTAGACGAGAATTCGACAGCCTTATTGCCTACCAAAACGCCTTGTCTAGCTTGTCCATACCTTTCAACCACATCAAAAACCGCAGCGCTAGCCGTTGCATTTCTAGCGCCGTTTTTATCGCTTGAGCAGCCAATCTGCCAACCCTGCATTACACAGCCCCGATGCATCTCAGACATGGCTCACAGACATGCCAAGCCAGAGCTGAAAGAACCCCGGGTACCCAAACCTCATCCTCGGGATGACTCGTCTGAAGCATGGGGACGTGCGACTTGACTTGGGATGCCACAAGATCTATCATCCTGTGTTCTCCGTCATATGTCCGACCTGGATCACAGCTAAGAAGAAAAAGAAGCATACAGCTCTCAAACTACCAGGGCTCCAAAAGCTAGGTGCATGCTTTTGATAAGAGCAAGCAAGCTATCGTCCGTTCCTGACCCTCCACCCCGCATGCTCGCGCTGGTAGCCCACATCGGTAACCGATGCCCTGTTGACTGACCGAATCAGCCACGCCTCCGTGTCAGTCTCTCATCGGTGCCTGGGAAGAGCTCTCTTCTCTTTCTGCGGCGAGGTTCCTCAATTTTGGGTCAGCCCCGGCCAGCCACTCCGGACTGCACGCGTCCCCCGTACAGAGCTTGCATACTGCGTTCTTATCTTCTTCCCCAAAGACTCATCTGGCCCTTGCATCTCTTTCATTTGGGGCGAGCGTGTGGGTGTTACCCATACCAATTAGACCGTCCCGGGTGAAGCTCAGTCAGACTTCTTCCGTTGGCCTCTCGAGCAACAGCCCCGTTAACAATATTTCTTAAGATACTGCTGCCCGTCACTCGTCCACAACCTACTTTGGCCCCATCCACGGCTACGTTTCCCAAGTGATCGTCTTTTAGCTTTTGTCCAAAACCCAGGTCCCTGCCATCTGAGGCCCCTTTGTAACATAAACCATAGCAGCGTTCGATGGCAGGCCCTCTACAGGTTGGAGACCTTATCAGCCTCGGGCGCCTAGCCTGGGAAGTCTACCGCTACGGCTGGTCTGAAGAACATAATGCAAGTAAGTGACCCAAGCGCGATACCTTTGTTTCTCCTGCAAGGTATGCCTTGCGGGGCTTCGCCAACGCACTGCTTTTATTGAATGTCAGCCTTCGCGAATAGGTACATGTACCTGGCGATCACACAATCCTTCATCAGTCCGCCTTCAGTAGATGTAATGTCGTTCTGACTGTATGGCAGCAAAACAATATGAAGAATTTGGAAGAGATGTCAGAGGTCTCGGTGAGAACCTCGATATCCTCAGCAGAGTAGTTGCATGGGCAGACAACTCTCTCCAGAGTCAAAGACGTCAAGGTGCACCAGCAAGGCTACGATGGGACAGGACGTCGCTGATTCAGATCATTGGGGACTACGAGATGACATTAAGAGAATGCAATGAACTTCTCAGATCAAACAATCGATATCGTGTAGGAACCAACCCTTTACGCAACTTGGAATGGAACGTACTCGTTCAGCCCGCAGCCGATCAACTGCGCCAAAGGATCATGCTGCACAACTCGAAGATTCTACACGTCCTGAAACCGTTTGAAGTGTAAGTGAATCCAGTTGGTACCGTTTCATAAGCTGACGAGCTCAGTGACCTCCTTTTACGGGTACGGCAAGATATCGAGCGCATGCATCGAGACCTCGCGGACCGCATCACAGCCGCTCATCACGACATCCGCCGTCTGATGGGAGTTCTTATCCCTGACCTTGATGAAGCCCTCGACCAAAGAGTTCAGCGTAGTGTTATTCTACTAGAAGTGCCCGTGGACTTGGACGAACAGTTCCGGTTTGCAGCGCTCACCGGCCACCCCGAGTATCGCATCGAGGAAGACTTTGAACTCACCGAGCTGTCGGATGCATTCATATTGAACTTTCACAAGAGCACAATCAACTTTAAGTCTGGTATGGTAGTGGAAGAACGTGTTCCGACGGTTGACCAGTATCTCAACTTGCTGAAGTGTGTATGGATTTTCAAGAGAATTCAAGCGGCCCCCGCTTTGCGGGAGGCGGATAAGGACACTTCCCACTGGCCATCCTATGCCCGGCAACTGGAGGATGTAAGTCGTGTGTTCACTTATTTGTAAGGTATGGACTAACGGGAGTAGGACTTATCATCTCAATGCGCTCGATTTGGTCGCGAGTTGGTGACGCCAAGGATCATCACTTCGACACTCAAGCGGGACATGTTCACGATCTGGCCAGAGAAAGAACCCGCCCCTCTTGTTGACCTTGTTACAAAAGACGAGATGATGGAACAACTGCTAGAGGTGTAAGCTTGGCATACCCCCAGTTTTGTTACAAAGCCTAACGATAGCAGAAACTTGCAGAGCTATAGTCCAGGTATCGAGAAGAAAGCCAAGCTCCTAAGAAGGCTAGATGCAGATGGGCGAAGATTCAGAATCATCATGTCTGGATCAGCTCAAGCGGCATCGGGCAAGCCAAGACAGCAAAGTTAGTAGAATATCTTCTTGTCGAGGTCAAATGCTAACTTGCACAGCTGAGAAATTCGACTTCGATATTACTACAATGGTCTTCAACCCGCAATACGCCTTGCCCACCGGCACTCATATGACACAAGAGATCATCGTACGGCAGAACGAGAGAATCGCAAGGCTAGATTTTATGGACGGAGCTGATATACTGAAGTTCCAACAAGCGGTCACTGGATTCAAGCCATGGGCCTCTGCCACGCAGTACGACTGTCAAGTCATTTTCGTTCTCGGTGGCGTCCAAGAGACAATCATGGAGAATGCTTGCCTTCAGCTCTGGATACCCAAATCGACCGAGGGCTCGCTTGTCACTAATAGCGATGCCGCAGTCAACAACATCAAGACTTCATCAAGCCGTCAAAACTCCATATCGACACTTACCTCTGGAGCGATGCCAAGTTCGCCCCTTTCAGGGAGCAGGCCATTTGCATCACCGGCGCAAACGCTTTCTTCTTATGGAAACGGTGGAGACGGGTTCGCTATGGGCCCTCCTGGTCGTCACCCAAGTCTCCCAACTATACCGCAGAGACAGCCCACAGGACCCGAGTTCTACGGCTCGTGGCCGGGAAGAACTTCTCCAGAGCCCATAGGGTCATCACCTGTAGAAAGACAGAGTTTCTTCCCTATACCAGGACCGCCGCGTCAGTCTCCACCACGGAAGCCAGTCGGATCAAGTCCATCTCCTCGTCGCTCCAGCTCCCTCTTCCCTCCCCCCTCCAGCACTACAACTATGACCAATAATGGACGTTCTTTCAGTATATCAAGTGGCGTCTCAAGCAACAGTAACTCATCCAACAGCGATGTTCGAAGCGTTAGTATTTCTACAGGAACAAATTCCACAGGGCTTCTCCATAAGCGTCCAGTGAAGCCGATGCTGGTCTTGTTTACACAAAACCGACAAGGAGACAAATTCTCATTTGTGACGGTTCAAATTGACGACGAAACAAACATGAATCCAGAGCGCTGCAACTGTCGCCGATCCGGAAGAGATGGAGCATCCTGCGATATCGCGGCCATCGAGAAGAAAAAGGGCGATGCTCCTATTTCAGCCCGAAGATACGAGCAGTCACCGTCCGATGGCGAGATGGACTGGAACTTGGCTCGGCTGGCGCTGAATAACCCTGCCTCAACGAGCGATAGTGTCAACTGGCCCAACCTCAAACGTGTTAGCATCAAGTTTCCAACTCCGCAGGCACGAGCTAAGTTCTGTGGCACGCCAAATGTCTGTCACTGCAAGATTAAGAAGGAAGGCGACTTGCTCAAGTGCATACAAGAACGCCATCGCGGACTCTGGGGAGAGGTTCAAGAGAACTACAGGAGGCAGATGAATAGCTTTCACAAGCAACGATATGAGAGCAGATCTCATGTGGTCTATGGCGTAACGAGTTGATGGATTTAATATACGAGAAAATGACGGGAAATAACAAGTTCAGTTTGTATCTCTATGTAAGGGGGCTTTTATGATTCTCACGAGGCGAGGAGTAATGGAGCAGTCATTGGTTACAGGCGTTTTTAGAAAGCTAAGAGAGGGATTCTCAGATAGGTAGGGTCACTGATAAATGAATGGTTACGCTGTTTCATAAACATCACTTTTGATCTGCAGAGACTGAGGTCCTTCGAATGAGAAATCATATTTTAAATAACCCGATAATCATCATAAATATACAGACCCCTTATACCCTACTGAACTTTTATACTTTTCTTCCTACATCCATTCAAACCTGCTTCTGCGGATCGATGCTATGCTCCCGGCTTGAGCCTGCTGTGGCCTTGTTCTGTTGCTCTGTATCTTCATGGATCACGACATTGGTCGCTGAACGGGCTGCATCAATATCATCTTCCAGCTCCTCAGGAAGTGTAAGGTTGAGGATCACACAGATGATGGCAGCAACCGCGAAACCGGTCTCCATGACAAGAACAATAGCGTCGAGGAAACCCTGAAGAGAGCGGTTGTCACCCTCGTATGTGAAGATTTTATCAAAGTAGTTGGGTAGAAGAGTTGCACCATATCCCAGAGCCAGACCAGCAGTGAGAATGAAGCGGTTGCGTCGAGTGAAAGGGACGCCACGCACAATGATAGACATGCCCGATACAGCCACAGCACTGA